CTGGTATACCACATGCACTAAGACCAGAAACGAAAGCCTTAATCGCAATTGCCCCAGGAGATTGGGACCTTGTCCTTTAAAGAGGCAGTTTAGGATGGTGGCTAGAGGTACCCATTACAGAGTCAGACTTAGGTCCAAAGTCTGGCTTTTCCACTCTCTCTAGTTCACTGACTCGAGGAGAATTGTTGAACCTCTCTAATCAGCAGTTTTATCTTGAGAATAATAATGATAAACTTATAAAGATTCCACTTTAGGCCAGGCACAGTGGTTTATGCCTGTAATCCTAGCACTTTGGGAGGCCAAGGTGGGCAGATCATCTGAGGTCAGGAGTTCAAGGCCAGCCTGGCCAACATGGTAAAAACCCATCTCTATTAAAAATACAAAAATCAGGCGGATGTGGTTGTGTACCTGCAATCCCAGCTACTCAGAAAACTGAGACAAGAGAATTGTTTGAACCTGGGGGCAGAGGTTACAGTGAGCCAAGATCTCTCCACTGCACTCCAGCCTAGGTGACAGAGCTAGATTCAAAAAAAAAAAAAAAAAAAAAAAAAAAAAAAAAAAATCTACTTTATGAGGTGAAATAGATATTTCTCTCTCTTTTTGTTTTTCAGAGATGGGATCTCACTCTGTCACTCAGGCTGGAGCAGTGGTGCAATCATAGATCACTGCAGGCTCAAACTCCTGGGCTCAAGCCATCCTCTTGAGTAGGTGGGACTACAGGCATGTACCACCACACCCTGCTGATTTTGTAATGTTTTGTAGAGATGAGGTCTCACTATGTTGCCCTGGCTGGTCTCTAACTCCGGGCTTGAATCAGTCCTCCCAGCTAGGCCTCCCAAAGTGTTGGGATTACAGGTGTGAGCCACTGCACCCGGCCTAAGAAGTACATATTTCTGTACCACCTCAGATCAGTACTTACATGGCATATAATCAACAATCTGTGAAGAATGAATTACAATAGCCTAATAATAATAACAGTAAGTTATATGGGAAGGTTTGCTGCCTAAATGACATTCAGAATCTAGTCCCAGGAATTTGAGTCAATATGAACACAAAAAAACCGAAACACGAAAAACCCAAGAGCTTTTTCCTGGGCAGTGGTGGGCCAGTTTTCCACTGGTTTATTTCTGTTGTCATTTAAACCTTCCACCATTCCCTCAAAATTCTAACCCAGCCAGGAGTCTCGGATGGTCAAAGCCACTCCTACAGGGTATGAGAGGTGCAGGGCCCAGTCCAGCTCCCAGCTACCCCTTAGGTGACCCTGGGGCTCTGGTTAAGGTCTGGGAAGGCTCTAAACCATACTGATAAAAGCAGTGCCAACAACAAAATGCTTTATTTCCAGAAATCCCTTAAGACCCCTGCTCCCGGAGAAATAAAACTCTCCCGGTGAGGTTCGCAGGGGCCACATCCAGGATCTGTAGCTAAGGAGGGCGTCATGGATTTCACGTGTCAGCTCACCCCCAGCATCCTCCCAACCGCAGTAATGGTATTTCTAGCTCCAGTGCAGAGTCTATTATTTGTACATTTCTGCCGGTGTGTATGGTCAAGTTCCCAGTAATTCACTGTTCACATGTGATCTATGCTGTTCACTTCCAAAATAAAACATCGGCAGGGCACAGTGGCTCATACCTGTAATCCCAATGCTTTGGAAGGCCAAGGCAGGCGGATCACCTGAGGTCAGGAGTTCAAGCCCAGCCTGGCCAACACGGTAAAACCCTGTCTGTACTAAAAATAAAAAATAAAAAATAAAAATAGCCAGGAGTGGTGGCAGGTGCCTGGAATCCTAGCTACTCAGGAGGCTGAGGCAGTAGAATCACTTAAACCTGGGAGGCGAAAGTTTCAGTGAGCTGAGATAGCGCTACCACGCTCCAGCCTGAATAAGAGTGAAACTCTGTCTCAAATAAATAAATAAAATAAAATAAAACATCAGTATGCAAGCAAAATTAACTTATCAGAGAAAACAGAGAGGTCCCAGATGAGTAAGAATGAGACGTGAAGCTCTAAAAGGAAAAATATATTGATACCAGAGACTCTCTTTCCTTGATGCCTTTATGTGGATCAATAGAGCCATTAGCTAAGCTGCTAGTTAAATCAACACTAAATACTGGTTTATTTAAAATATCTCTATATCATTATCGAAGTACTGTACTTTCCTCTCCTACAAGGGTAATAGAATTTACCTACATAGAAAATTATTTATTTTTAAAGTCTAAGTAGGCCAGCTTTGGTGGCTCACGCCTGTAATCTCAGCACTTTGGGAGGCCAAGACGGGTGGATTGTTTGAGACCAGCCTGAGCAACATGGCAAAACTTCATCTTTACAAAAACACAAACAAATTAGCCAGGTGTGGTGCTGCACACCTGTAGTCCCAGCTACTCAGGAGGACGAGGTGGGAGGATCACCTGAGCCCACTGGGGAGGTCGAGGCTGCAGTGAGCGATGATCATACCAATGCACTCCAGCCTGGGCAACAGAGCCACACCCTGTCTCAAAACATATAAATAAGTAAATAAAAAGTCTAAAGGAACAGTTGTTTTGAAAAAAAAAAAAACTTAGTTAAAGGTCAAAGTATGACTTAGGCCTGTAAAATGCAATGTAAATAATTAAAAGTAGACATTACAGGTATTGATCGACTTACGACCTACGCAACTTACAACCATTCGACTTTACGACCACAATCGCTAGCCACGACTGCTCCACGTCTGGCAGCGCAAACGTTGCCCAGCTCGGCGTACGACGGTGCGGACCAGCTTCCGGCAGCACTACCGTCTCCGCGTGCACCATTTCAACTGTTATCCCAGACTCAGTACAGCAATTTGTGTTTTGTGCCTTGGATATTTTTCATCAAACCTAAGATGTCTACCAAGAGGAGTTGCCAATAAAATGTTTCATACATGTTTATATATTTTGATATGTTTTACAATTGGGAAAATGTTTCCTATGGTATTTTTTACACCTGTATTTTGTATTTTTGTATGCACCTGTATTTTGTAATTTTGTATGTTTTGCAAATATTAAACCAGTTGCACTGGTAATGCAGTGTTTTACTTAAACCTGACGAATGTAAAAATAAGAAACAAAATAGTGTAGAGATGATACAAATGGCATAAAATGAACAAAGAAAATTATGATATATAACAATAATGAAAGAAAATTATGATAAAATATGACTTAAAGATTTTTATAACATCATTTCACAGTACTGTACATATAGCCTACTCAACTTACGACCAAACTGTGGTACGACTGGTCTGTCGGAACCAATCGTGGTTGTTAAGTTGAGCACTAGGTGTACTTTCAGTTTTAGGCAAAATTAAAATTCCACATTATCATCTTGTGATGATGACTTGTATACACGACTTGTATACACTGACTCTGATAAGTTTATACAGTATAGTGTACAGGAGAATTAGGTCCAACATTTACTGCTTAGGGCAGCATGGAATGGCACCAACTCCAGTCTTACTAACCCGCCTCCTGTGTTATTATCACTCAGTATGAATGACTGTAGAAAAATAATAGAAGATACCATAATATCCATACATTTACAGAAGCAGTAATTCTGACCTTCCATCAATCTCACATTAGATACCTATGCTCTGCTCACATCCTTACCCATAGGACGTTAGAACATATCTTTCAGGATATGTTACTGGGAGTCTAAATTAACTTAGCCATTGTGGAAGACAGCGTGGTGATTCCTCAAAGACCTAAAGACAGAAATACCATTTGACCCAGCAATCCCAATACTGGGTGTATACCCAAAGGAAGAGAAATCATTCTATTACACGGACATACGCACCCGTATGTTCGTTGAAGTACTATTCACAGTAGCAAAGACATGAAATCAACCTAAATGTCCATCAGTGATAGAGTAGATAAAGAAAATGTGTTACATATATACTCCATAGAATACTATGCAACCATGAAAAAGAACGAGATTGTGTCCTTTGCAGGAACACAGATGTCCTTAATACCTGGGTGATGAAATAATCTGTACAACAAATCCCCATGACACAAGTTAACCTATGTAACAAACCTGCACTTGTACCCCAAACTTAAAACAAACAACAAACAAACATATCTGAAAGCATCACTGGAATTCCCTGCTAAAGAACTCTTTTACGGGCCAGGCACGGTGGCTCACTCCTGTAATCCTAGCACTATGGGAGGCAGAGGAGGATGGATCATTTGAGATCAGGAGTTCAAGACCAGCCTGGCCAACATGGAAACCCCGTCTCTACTAAAACTACAGAAATTAGCTGGGTGTGGTGGTTCAACCCTGTTAAATAATCTGTACAACAAACCCCCATGACACAGTTAACCTATATAACAAACCTGAGCTTGTACCACTTAACTTAAAACAGACAACAAATGGCCGAGCACGGTGGCTCACGCCTATAAACCCAGCACTTTGGGAGGCCAAGGCAGGCAGATCATGAAGTCAGGAGTTCAAGACCAATTTACTAAAAATACAAAAATTAGCTGGGCATGGTGGCTTATGCATGTAATCCCAGCTCCTCAGGAGGCTGAGGCAGGAGAATCACTTAAACCTGGGAGGCAGGGGTTGCAGTGAGCCGAGATTGGGCCACTGCACTCCAGCCTGGGCGACAGAGTGAGACTCCATCTCAACAAAAACAAACAACAAACAAATTTATCTTTGAAAGCATCATGGGGATTCTGTGCTAAAAAATTCTTTTATGGGACAGGCGCGGTAGCTGACCTCTGAAATCCTAGCACTTTGGGAGGCCAAGGCAGATGGATCACTTGAGGTCAGGAGTTCAAGACCAGCCTGGCCAACATGGCGAAAACCCATCTCTACTAAAAATACAAAAATTAGCCAAGCATGGTGGCATGCAACTGTAATCCCAGCTATTCTGGAGGCTGAGGCAGGAGAATCACTTGAACCTGGGATACGGAGGTCACAGTGAGCCAAGGTTGCACTCCAGCCTGGGCAACTGAGCAAGACTCCATATTGAGAAAGAAAATTCTTTTACTTACCATCCTTTGATCTTTTTGTAAAGATAACGCTTCTTATGCAGGAGAACTTTTACAGGAACCCATATCAGAAGAGTCACCAACGCAACATAGGCAATAGAACAGGAGACGATCAGCCAGTAGTGTGTGTTGTCGGACCTGGCCCTTGTTCGTTGGTAGGCGGTGGCAAACTGTTCCGTGATCACAAGTGTAGGGACAGAGAAAGCAGCAAACTCTAGAAGCTCAAAAACCACAAATTTAATGAGCCTTCCAGAAGCCATCCCGAGGAAAAGCAAGCTGCCACAGACCTGGGACTCTCTCTCTGACTGTGGGCAGCATATGGATCTACAGATACTGAACTGGGATCAAGTTCCTTGTCCTCGACTCGCTAACCAGTGACTTTTTATTCTTTTATTGACCCTCATACGGTTCAATAATCTCCTAACTTAACAACCATGATCTCTTAAAGGAACAGGACTGTTGTGGAAGTGATCACTCAATGTATTTGCACTTCCATTATTAGAAGTCAGATGAACTCTAGAGCATGCCTGGGAGCTCGAGTGAAAGCAGGGTTTTAAAAATGTGTTTACTACTAATGTTAGCACAAAACCATTTGTGTAATAGTCAACTCTTGTTAAGTAAAACTGCTGGAATAATGTAATTTTAGAGTTAAAGGGGAATAGAATCAAATCCTCTATTTTTATATAAAAGCAAAGTCAGGCAAAGAGAAATACTCAAACCTAAGTCTTCATCTTGGAAAACTACCCCTCCCTTTCAACTGCTTGAAAAGGGAGTGTGAATTCACTTTGTCAACGTTCTCACCAGGATTCTCCCTGATACTTAAGATATCCGTTCGTTATTGTGCATTAGTTGTCAAATAACACAGATTAATGTTATTTTTGCTTTGCTGCTCCGCAAGCTAAAATGGTCACATTAGAAACCTTTTATCAGGACGAACACATTAAGAGCTATCTATAACTAGCTCAAGCGCATATCAAATATTTAAAAGACAACAATTGTCTCCATGAAGTATCCTTCCTTCGAAAAACATAGTTGAGGCCAGGCATGGTGGCTCACACCTGTAATCCCAGCACTTTGGGAGGCCGAGGTGGGTAGATCACTTGAGATCAGGAGTTCAAGACCAGCCTGGCCAACATGGCAAAACCCTGCCTCTATGAAAAAATACAAAAATTAAGGCCGGGCGCAGTGGATCATGCCTATAATCCCAACACTTTGGGAGGCCAAGGCAGGTGGATCACCTGAGATCAGGAGTTTGAGGCCAGCCTGACCAACATGGTAAAACCACCACATCTCGACTTAAAATATATATACATATAAAACTAGCCAGGAATGGTGGTACATGCCTGTAATCCCAGCTATTCGGGAGACCGAGACAGGAGAATCGCTTGAACCTGGGAGGTGGAGGTTGCAGTGAGCCACTATTGTGCCACTGCACTCCAGCCTAGGCAACAAGAGCAAAACTCCATCTCAAAAGCAAAAACAATACAAAATGTAGATAGGCATGGTAGCACATGCCTGTAATCCCAGCTACTTGGGAGGTTGAGGCAGGAGAATCACCTGAACCGAGGCGGCTGAGGTTGCAGTGAGCCGAGATCATGCCACTGCACTCCATCCTGGGCAACAGAGCAAGACACCGTCTCAAAAAAACAAAAACAAACAAACAAAAACAAAAACCTATCTGAGCACCTACAATGAGCATTTTCGTGTGTGTTAGGATGTGAAGATGAATGAGTGACAGAAGATCCTGTCCTGAAAGTGCCTGAGGTCCAATGGAGGTGACAAACTGAGGACAACAAAAACCGAGGTCAGAAGCGTAAACAAAGTGCCGTGGTGTCACCTGGGGGAACTTCACCGAGCTTCCCCTTGGGGTTGTGGGAAGGGGACGGGCACGTAAGCATGGTCAGGATGGATGGGGGCACTGTGGCGTCAGTGGCATTTCAGACAGAGCCAAGGATGCTGCAGCGGTTCATGAGAATCTGGTGTGGCACAGCAGGAAACAGAAGAAGGCAATGTTAGAATAATAGTTTGGGAGGCCAGGTGCAGTGGCTTACACCTGTAACCCTGGCACTTTAGGAGGCCGAGGTGGGTTGATAGCTTGAGAAGGCCAGGAGTTTGAGACCAGCCTGGGCAACATGGTGAAACCTCTTTTCTACAAAAACGTAGCCAGGCACAGTGCGGTGTGCCTGTGGTCTCAGCTACTTGGGAGGCTGAGGTGGGAGGATTGCTTGAGCCTGCGAGGTTGAGGCTGCAGTGAGCTGCGATCGTGCACAGCACTCCAGCCTGAGCAACAACGTGAGACCCTGCAACAACAATAAAATAGGTTGGGGTCATAATGTAGTGTCCCATTAAGGGTTTGGAGTGTGTGTGTGTGTGTAGCTGGCAGTAAAAAAGCGAGGTTTTCTGAACACAGCAGTCCTTTGTCATCACAAACGGAGCAGGAGTGACGAGGTGGGCATCACACTAGCAGACATTGAGTCCTGTCCCTTCTGCAGCTTTCCCTGTGCCTGCTATCACACTGATGCAGACCGTATTTCTCTAGGCTTCCCTCTCAAGGCCCTCCACAGAAGGGACCCTGCACTACCAGACTTCCAGGGTGCATGGGAGGCTCCTGGATGGGTGCCTTCTGCCCTCCCACTGCAGGACAATTAGTCAGGGGCTTCTTCAAGCCATCTAGCTATTTTATTTGAACTTGGATTTTGAATCCATTGAAGTTCAGCAGAGGTTCTTTCAAGCCAAAGAAACTCGGAAGAACAGTGATAAAATACGAAGGTGGGGTGGAGACCCCTCTGGACAGCAGTTTGTCGTCAACTACTTCTTATTTTGAGGTGCAGTCTCGCTCTGTCATCAGGCTGGAGTGCAGTGGTGTGATCTCAGCTCACTGCAACCTCTACTTCCCGGGTTCAAGCGATTCTCCTGACTCAGCCTCCCGAGTAGCTGGGGCTACAGATGTTCACCAACATGCCCGGCTAATTTTTGTATTTTTCATAGAGATGGGGTTTTGCTATGTTGGTCAGGCTGGTCTCAAACTCCTGACCTCAGGTGATCTGCCCGCCTCAGCCTCCCAGAGTGCTGGGATCACAGGCATGAGCCACCACACCCTGTTATCAACTACTTCTAAGAGCCTATCATTGACATCAATTGTCAGTATCATCCCTGATGAAAATGCCTATTTAAATGATACTGCATGTGAATTATATTTTAACCTAACACTCCATCTTGAGTCACTAGCACTCTGTTGAATCATAACTTCTGCTACAAACTTTGTGTATGAATAGGAATTATTGAGCATTTGAAGAGAGTTATTGAATAAAAATAGCTTGGTTCTTGAAAAAGAAGTCTCTTGCCCAGGTCTATAATCCCATTTTGAATGCTCAATTTTTACTTCCATTCACGAGAATTTAAAACTGACACTAGCTTTGTTTCTCACCTGTGACATTCCTGTGGTTTATAATCTTCCTTCACCTTTACCTTATTTTTTAATTTTTTGAAAGAGTCTCACTCTGTCGCCCAGGCTGGAGTGCAATGGATCGATCTCAGCTCACTGCGACCTCTGTCTCCTAGGTTTAAGTGATCCTCATGCCTCAGCCACCCTAGTAGCTAGGATTACAAGCACCCACCACTACACTTGGCTAATTTTTCTATTTTTAGTAGAGACGGGGTTTCACCATACTGGTCAGTCTGGTCTCGAACTCCTGGCCTCAAGTGATCCACCCACCTCAGCCTCCCAAAGTGATGGGATTACAGGCATGAGCCATTGCTTCCAGCCACCTTTACCTTTAAAGATGACACCAAGAGTGTTAGCATTCATGTGACATGACCTGTGGCCAGTGTTCTCTACCTCCTGGAATGCTCTGGTCACTGGCTGTGCTTTCTTTAGGAGGAAGGCTGTGATTCTTGCTTTCTGCCTGCTATGAGCCCAACTCCATGTAAAGAAACAGTTAAGTGTGTCCGCATTGTCCATTGAACACTTCCTATGTGCAGACCATGGCAGTCCCTGTCCCTATGGCTCTGCCTAGGGAGACAGCACAGGTGCCCACACAGACCCGAAGACACTGGTGGAGTAAGTACACAGGGCAAGTTAGGGCTGGGAAGGGTGACCCGCCCTCAGTCCATGTCCCTTCACCAGCCACATCTCCCTGAATGAATGGGCCCTGAGCTATATAGAGTGTCCAGCAAGCTATATGGAGCCTGGCATAAACCAGGCCAATCAGATTCTCACTCAGGATTTTTTTCAGATCAAAACACCTTTTTTTTTTTTTGGAGACAGAGTTTTGCTCTGTCACTCTGACTGGAGTGCAGTGGCACAATCGCAGCTCACTGCAATCTCTGCCTCTGGGGTTCCAGCGATTGTCCAGCCTCAGCCTCCTGAGTACCTGGGATTACAGGCATCCCCCACTATGCCCAATTAATTTTAGGATTTTAGCAGAGATGGGGTTTTGCCATGTTGGCCAGGCTGGTCTCAAACTCCTGACCTCAAGTGATGTGTGCTGGGATTACAGGGATGAGCCACCGTGCCTGGCCTCAAAACACCTTTTGGATGCTTGTAGGGTGCTACAAATGATGTAATGTCCTTATATCATTCGTTTATATACTGGGTTCCCTACAAAACCATGAGCTCCTGGGAAGCAGAGAGCATCTGCTTTTCATCTGTGTACCCCCATTTCTCAGTGCAGTGCTTAGCACACAACAGTCCCCTACTACATATTCCTGGAAGGAAGGAATGCGTAAATGAAGTATAAGAGATGTGGAGACAGCCAGGCACAGTGGTTCATGCCTGTAATCCCACAATTCTGCAAGGTTGTGGTGGGTGGATCGCTTGAGCCCAGGAATTCAAGACCAACCTGGGCAACATGGCGAAACCCCATCTCCATGAAAAATACAAGAATTATCTGGCATGATGGTGCACCCCTGTAGTCCCAGCTACTCAGGAGGCTGAAGAGGGAGGCTCACTTGAGCCCAGGAGGTGGAGACATGATTGCGCCACTGCACTCCAGACCTGGGCAACAGAGTAAGACCCTGTCCTCTTCCCTGCTCAAAAAGAGAGAGAAGTGGTGAGTTAGGAAGAAAAATAAGAATTTTTTTTTTTTTTTTTTTTTTTTTAAGAAACAAGAATCAGGCAGAGAAGGAAAAAAAGAGAGAAGTAGGCAGCAAAAAGAATGTGCAAGGATTTGATCACAGTTAACTCTTTTTACTCCAAGGGAATGCTGCCTCCCATGCTGACATTTCCAAAGTAGGAATCACATTCTATCACTCTCAATTC